TGTTCAATGGGAAGAATGAGAGTTCTACCATTGAACTGGATGAGTCCTTTGATGAGACCAGCATGCGTTTTGTGCGGCGAATCCAGGAGTCTGAGGTCAAGGAGGCTTTAAAAAGGATGAAAGGAGGCAAGGCGATGGGCCCTGATTGTATCCCCATTGAGGTATGGAAAGGTCTCGGGGACATAGCGATAGTATGGCTAACCAAGCTTTTCAACCTCATTTTTCGGGCAAACAAGATGCCAGAAGAATGGAGACGGAGTATATTAGTACCAATCTTCAAAAACAAGGGGGGTGTTCAGAGTTGTACTAATTACCATGGAATTAAGCTGATGAGCCATACAATGAAGCTATGGGAGAGAGTCATTGAGCGCCGCTTAAGAAGAATGACAAGCGTGATCAAAAATCAGTTTGGTTTCATGCCTGGGAGGTCGACCATGGAAGCCATTTTCTTGGTACGACAACTTATGGAGAGATATAGGGAGAAAAAGAAGGACTTGCATATGGTGTTCATTGACTTGGAGAAGGCCTATGATAAGATACCGCGAAATGTCATGTGGTGGGCCTTGGAGAAACACAAAGTCCCAGCAAAGTACATTACCCTCATCAAGGACATGTACGATGATGTTGTGACAAGTGTTCGAACAAGTGATGTCGACACTGATGACTTCCCGATTAAGATAGGACTGCATCAAGGGTCAGCTTTGAGCCCTTATCTTTTTGCATTGGTGATGGATGAGGTCACAAGGGATATACAAGGAGATATCCCATGGTGTATGCTCTTTGCGGATGATGTGGTGCTAGTTGACGATAGTCGGATGGGGGTAAATAGAAAGTTAGAGTTATGGAGACAAACTTTGGAATCTAAAGGGTTTAGGCTTAGTAGAACTAAAACCGAGTACATGATGTGTGGTTTCAGTACTACTAGGTGTGAGGAGGAGGTTAGTCTTGATGGCCAGGTGGTACCTCAGAAGGACACCTTTCGGTATTTGGGGTCAATGCTGCAGGAGGATGGGGGTATTGATGAAGATGTGAACCATCGAATCAAAGCCGGATGGATGAAGTGGCGCCAAGCTTCTGGCATTTTCTGTGACAAGAGTGCCATAAAAGCTAAAAGGCAAGTTCTACAGGACGGCGGTTCGACCCGCAATGTTGTATGGCGCTGAGTGTTGGTCGACTAAAAGGCGACATGTTCAACAGTTAGGTGTGGCGGAGATGCGTATGTTGAGATGGATGTGTGGCCACACGAGGAAGGATCGAGTCCGAAATGATGATATACGAGATAGAGTTGGGGTAGCACCAATTGAAGAGAAGCTTGTCCAACATCGTCTGAGATGGTTTAGGCATATTCAGCGCAGGCCTCCAGAAGCTCCGGTGCATAGTGGACGGCTAAAGCGTCCGGAGAATGTCAAGAGAGGGCGGGGTAGACCGAATTTGACATGAGAGGAGTCCGTTAAGAGAGACCTGAAGGATTGGAGTATCACCAAAGAGCTAGCTATGGACAGGGGTGCGTGGAAGCTTGCTATCCATGTTCCAGAGCCATGAGTTGGTTGCGAGATCTTATGGGTTTCACCTCTAGCCTACCTCAACTTGTTTGGGACTAAAGGCTTTGTTGTTGTTGTTGTTGTTGTTATACTTCTTAGACAACCTGTGCAGTTACATGCCATTATGCATCATACACTTTGCATAGCTCAATACTCTTCTTGTATCTATGGATATCATGATCTATTGATATCAAGTTTCTTTCACACATGACAAAGGACACAACCAAATAAATCGAGAAATATTCATCAACAGCACTGACCCATGTCTTAGACTTTATTGGTTGAAGGAGGAAATTTCTGCGATGGAGAGAACATCACGTGTGTAGACAGTTCATCTTATATTTTCTTTTTTTGCACTACATCCATCTTATCTTTGTTTATTTTGCACCATTATTGACTGGAGTTTTATCTGAACCTGAGTTTTATCCATCTGACTGTTTGTAGATCCATGAACCTTTGTTTCTGAACTCTGCCTATTCTTTCCTTTACAATAACATGAGTTATTCTGAATTGATCATTTGATGTTACCCTAGCAGTGCCTCCATAGAAAATTAAATCTAGTTGATGTTTCTTAATTATGTTATCCTTTGATCAACTTCTGCAAACATAAGGAGCTAGTTGGTCTCGCTCCAATAATACATGGATTACCATTTGGTCTATGTGTTTAGATGAGGGTCACTATATACATCTGCAGATTAGCATTTATCATTCATATTTTCAACTTACATTTTCAAGGTATGTGATTTGATTTATCTGGAGGCAAGTTGTGCTTTCTGTCGGTTGCAATTACTATATGTTCCAAGTTGTGGCAACAATACTTCAGAATTATTTTTGTAATCATTCCGCCATAGTAGTATTTTTTTTAATTATATGATTGCAGAAGTTGTATATGGATGTACTGGGGGCACCAAGAAGAAAGGGTAGTATATGGATGTACTGGGCCCCCCAAAGAAGAAAAACTGGGGGCACGATAAATTTATCCTAGACATAATTAGGTTTTGTGGGACTCGACTCGTGTAACTGTTGAGGTGGGGTGAATTATTTCGTAATTTTGCTAATTATTTTTGTATTTCATGTTTCCTAATTTATACGTATAATCTATAATCTCAGTACTTTAGTAGGCTAATCCCCATTTCTTAATGATAAAATCGTTGTAATTGAATTATCGGCTTAAGAGTGTCACCAGCGATCGCAAAAGTCATTTTTGGTTCTGCTGTATTAGTGTTAAGATCTGTATGAGTATGTCTTAGTCAGTATTGGTTCCAGATAACCAATCTGGACTTGCCATTGGGGTCTTTTTCGGTGATTTTGACTTTTGCACATAAAAGATCGGAACTGAAATGCCAATGTGATTTGTATTATCATGTCATATTAGAATCTGTTAATAATTTATCATATGCTTCTCTTTCCCAGCTTATGATCCTTCATTTGTATAAATCAGGGGGGCTACACTTCTGAGACGAGGCTACAACACAATTTTTGTTGGAGTCAGCTACATTCTTACACCTCTAGCTCACGAAAGGTCGTAGTCCCATTTGGATTGCCACTCAGCACGAGTGGAGTGACACTTGATTTCTCGTTCTGTATTAGAGTACCTAAGAAATGTTGCCTCTCTATGTTATGTGACATCTTTAGTTCTGACTATTCTCATGAGTGTCCGAAGATGATAGTGTAAATCAGTGATTATTTATACATTTGCAAATTCCTTGATTTTCTGTGATCTATAGAATTATATGTAATGTCTTGAATATATTTGTGTTTTTTCGTAATTATTCATGGTATTTTTCTGAGCTGTTTCAAAATTGATTGTGTAGAATCCTTCATTTTTGTGTTTTTTTTAATTTATCTTCTTCTGGGGATTTTGCCCCCTTCAACCTGTTGCCATTTGGTAACGTGGACTTTGGGAGATTTCCCCCGTGGGAGAAGTGGATCCTACCTGACCCTCAAAATCCCCCGATGGGGTTTGCTACCCAGGGCATATTTCCTCAGGCAACCAAATGAGGCCTTAGTTTCTTGGGTTGCACCAATATGTGCTGTCAAGGATGATTGCTAGCCTGACATGTGCAAACTATAGAGTAGCCAGTAGTGCATGGAAATAATAAAAATACATCATATGTGTGTGTGCAGGGCATGCCCATGATTCATAATCATTTGAGACAGTCTTAGAAGAACAATTTCCCATTGTTTTTCATCCCCTATTGAGTGTTGTCTGCAAATTTCTTCCGTTGGTGAAAGGAACCTGTACTCTTCTTTGTTTTAGTGCTCTACTCCATATTTCCCTACATTTGTGGTAGACAATGGTGTGCCTTCGTATATAATAAATGTTCTCTACTCTCACGACCCATGAATTAGTATTGTTATTATTGCCATATACTTATATAGAATGATGAGATGTGATCATGCACTTGCACTATCCAATTCTTACTGCTAATTAGGTAGGTTCAGCTGTAATGGAGTTGGTATCATGCCCTTCTACATTATGTAGATTGTTTGGTGTTCCAAGATAAAATCATGCCGTTTTTTTCTCATGTGAATGCGAAGGACCTTATGCATGTTTCTCTTCTCACTGATGGATGATGATGATTTAATAGTTAAGGGACTTCCACATGTTATAACTAAGCCATGCATATGTCTAAAAATTTACTAATGGTAACATACCCAATTAACCTAATAGATTCTTTTACCTTTTCAATGAATGTAGCTCTGCCATCTGTGTTACCATCAGCAGAAGGTATATATGCTCGAAGAAGCTATCAAACGGATTGGCAGTACAATCCATGCATTCAAACTTGTTGATGATGATGATTGCACAGTAATGGCATCGGTGAAAATCGATATCCGACCCCACGGCAAAAGCATATTGCCAACTCAACAGGAATTTTATGGAGAACCAATTCAGCTTGCCAGTGATGCTATTGAATCCGCATGCTTTAGCCTATCTACTGACCATGGACATAATTACAATAGATGATGCCAACTCGGTGGAGCTCAAGAAATGCCAAAGATAACTCAAAGCTGAGCAGTTCTGGTCATCCGTGCTATATGGTCATCTGGACTGAAGCCTTTTGTTGTTTCCTGGACCAAATACCGCTATGTACTGAATGTTAATAGATTGATAAACACATCTATATTATGCTATATTATTTTATATTTGCAATGTTTCAATGATTGTATTACTGAATTGGATATGACTATACCTGGCAGCATCGCTGCCAGGTGCGGCAAGCCGCACTTCCTACCTAGTACAATAAAATGGTAGAGGCGGATTGCGGATAAAACAAAAAAGTTGTAGTCTAACATCTACAGCACAAGAAACCTAAAGAATCAATTTTGATATCTCAGTGTAGAATGAAAATTGTACAACCTACAAGGTCAAACCGCCTACGCAAAATTAAACTATCACTTGTAACCAAACTCAGACACGAATATTAGCACAGTGCACCCTGTGGAGTTCATGAACTAGATGAGGAAATTATCCATCATGTGATTGATAACGTCTGCCCCATCTGAGTTAAGCCAATAGCTCTTTACCTGACGTTCATAGAGTAAAGAGAAGTATGATCAAAATGTATGTATTATTGCATTGGCATATTCTACTACGCAACAAAGAATCAGGTACCCAGAGTTTCTTAGCGAAAATTGTTGAAGGGTATTGCCGCAATGTCATTTTTGTTTCACGTTTTTTTATCTTTTTCTTTATATATACTGAATTAGTATATATGTGAAATACTTTTTCCTGTTTGAATATACAACATGGTTATCAATACCATCAAGTTAGGATAATAATGGGCCTATTACACAGAATAAGCAATTCCATGCAAGGTGATTTTGCTAATGATATCTGGGCGCATTTGACTAGATTGGATTTTAACTTAGAAAAATGCCCCTCTGTTTTTTAGAGCAAAAGTTCATATGCCACTGGATGGAAGCACCAAATTCAGATACCAAAAATGAAAACAATACTTCAAACAAAATACAAAAGTCAGCTTGGAAAGGTCAAAAATCACACCTGGATGGTGTTATGCGCAACCAATCTTTGACTACTTTTCTGGAAGCTCACATCAACACGTTCCCACTGCAGTTGTGTTAGGCCTCTTATCATCTCCTCTGCATGTAATGTTGCCACTTGTCAACAATTGATGAACAATGATTTAACATGTTTGGGCTAGCGAACAGCTCATATGAAGATGATCTCAAGGTTATTTTAAACCGGGCATGCAGGGAACTGATTAACAGCAAACTCAGTCTATGCCGCTCGACTTCCTAAAAAGGTTGGCCGAATACCAAAAGGTCCAATGTAAATAACTCAATAAGAAGAGACTTGGAACTAAAAAGTCTGATGCAACCATGATGGGAACTAAGAAAATGTTAAGGCAACAGAAGACAATAGAAAGCCAGCATACCTTCTGGGCCACAGAGATTAGCACTCACTTCGGTTTCATTTCTTTCCATAATTCCTCTATCAACATGGACTATATGTGGATACTTCTCATCACGAACAAGAAGGCGATGCTGCAGAAGGGGTTGAATTCAATTAAAAATTAGTTCGTTTACTTACAGGGAAGAAACCATAAACATAAAACCATTCCTGATACATACTTTTGGCAACTCGTGTTGACGCCGGATTGACGATGTTCTCCAACCCACCATATCTTTTCAGCTGGTTAAGTGGGTATACAGTTAGAAGTAAAATATGCAATTTAGAATACACAGTGAACACAAGTATGTCATTCAGCAGTTAAAGCATACGGTTGAAATTTCAACAGTTAAAGGATATGGTTGAAATTTCATCAGTTAAAAGGATACGGTCAAAATTGGCATTCGCATATGCCACACGTCGTTTGAAAGAGCGCAATCCGGATCTGCACAGCAGAACATGGTATACTTTAGAAATGATGCCGTATACACTTCTAATTAATTAGGACAACTGGAGCGCAATACAGAAAATAACCTGAATTTTATATCATCATGATCCTGAACCATTTGAAGAAGGAGTGGACGCCTACCATCATCACTGTCTGTAAGGAATAAATGCTTTCCAGTTCTTCCAACAATCAAATGTGCAGTTTCTGATGCTCTTCGCTCCAGGAAAGGCAAGCCACATAGAAAGGGGAGCTGGTGGAAGAATCTGAACATGAGACTAACATTACTGAAGCATTTGAATGTTCTTGTTCTATTGCAATCTGAATTCGAAGAGTGTCAGTGTTCTGATCCCGTGGTAGCTATCAAGGGTGCATGATGGATAGCTAAATTTGTTCGGACGGCTTACGAGTGGCAAATCAGGATGGCTGCACACAAGAGACAACGATCTACCCAGGTCCAGGCCTTCCCTGGAGAGGTAACATCCTACTCCTACTGCTAAGATGTATTGCTTTGTGTGTTGGCCTGAGATCAGAGAGATCTCAGCTAGGGTTCTTGGTACAAGGTGCGCCGTGGTGGTGGCAGAGGTGGAAGATGAAGGGTTAGGTGAGGAACCCTGGATCTCACTAGTGGTGTGTAGAATTATCTGAGAAGATTTGGTCCCGACCGAGGGGCCACTAACTGGCCATCTATGAGTGGTCAAGTTAGGGTTACATGGCTCAGGTAAGTTTACAAGTTGGTGTGCGCTACTGGGTCGCGCCGGACCCTGACTAGTTGGGTGAATTGGTTGCCTACCTTGTCCCTCGAGATGATGAAGGCGTCCCTTATAGAAGGTTGGCCCAAGTCACCAGTCAAGCCCATGCTAAGGTCGTTGGCCCACTTTCGACCTTGCTGCCTAAATCCGGGTGTCGTATCCTCGTCAAAAGCCCCTGAGTCTTACATGATTCCTCTATCCTGGGAAGTGGAGCTCTTGGACCATTCCCACCAGCCAAAGGAAGTCGCCATCAAGTACTTCCCCAAGCAGGTGGGTTGAAGTACTTCAGAATGTGCCTTCTGAGTTACAGTTGGCGGATTCCTTCATGAAAGCCCAGACTAGAGCACAACGTGGCTTTTACCTCTTGGAGAGGGGTATATACGCTGGCGTATGGCCTCATAGGAATACAAATTGCATATTCCTAAAAGCTTAAGGTTCGAATCGCAAATACATTAGTTTACTAATTGCACTAAATAATGAATGCATTGAATGGAGTGTACCGGTTAAATCTCTCTCCCATGGGTAGGTTAAGTGGGTACGTGAACCAGGGAAAGAGACAGTTGAATGATCAAACTCTAGTTTATAAAACAATAGAAGAGAGCAGTGATATTGCTACCTGTTTGTTTCCACTTGAACCCAGATGTGGTGATGCAAAGGTTATAAAGTTCATAGGTTTTAAGCCGGCGATGAGACCCTCCAAGCATTCAACTTGCTCTCTGTTGTTCCCAACGGAACATTTAGTTCTGTTACCACATTCGTAAAGCCTTCCTATAGCATATCTGGCAACAAGACCACCCAGAGAGTGCGCCACAATTGAGATCATCTTCACACCTCTTCTTTGCTCGACAACTGATAGAACCTATACGGGTTCCGTTAGTACAAATATGAAATGATGTGATGAAAGCATAGTACTTCCAGTAATAAAAGGATCGCATAAGATCAATATAGACCTAATTTGCCTTGCTTTGATACCAACGGGTCACAAAGTGAAGCTTAACAACCTATCATGATATCACCCTGCATGTTAAACGTAAACCATAGCTAGTTTATGATTAATCAGCTTAGTAACATCTTATCATTAACCTATTAAGCCCAAGTAGTTTATAATTAATCAGCTCATGAAGCAGATGTCGTCTAGCACACAGACAGACAGACAACAACAACAACAACAACAACAACAACAACAACAGCAGCAACAATTAAGCCCTTGGTCCCAAACAAGTTGGGGTGGGCTAGAGCTGAAACCCATAAGATCTCGAACCAACTCATGGTTCTGGCAAGTGGATAGCTAACTTCCACGCATCCCTGTCCATGGCTAGTTCTTTGGTGATATTCCAGTCCTTCAGGACTCTCTTTACGGACTCCTCCCATGTCAAGTTTGGTCTACTCCGACCTCTCTTGACATTATCAGCATGCTTTAACCGTCCGCTATGCACTGGAGCTTCTGGAGGCCTGTGTTGTATATGCCCAAACCATCTCCGACAATGTTGGACAAGCTTCTCTTCAATCGGTGCTACCACAACTCTCTCACGTATATGCTGTCTACCGGACAGAAATAAAGAAAAAATAGACAAAGTTTAACAATACTTGTACGTGTGCACAATAACAAGTACTCAAGTACACGTTGCGCGAATGTGGTTAATTTCTATTAAAAGGGCACAAATAAGATGAATCAATGAACGAAGCAGTCACAGCGTCTCAAACAATCTGCCTCGACTATTGCTAAGAGGTAAGCCACATCCACAAAAAAAGCATTTAGAAAACGGTGAGAAGAGTAAGGAGAGAGGTGAGGTCGTTGCTCTAGGTAGAAATGGCATGGCACTTCTAAAAAGACACTAGTAACAACCAAACGTGCTATTGGAGAGACCCTTATTTGTGCCCTGCGCTATGTGGATTGTCAATGTTTGCATTGATCGTATGCCGTAGCATATATAGTATTTCAACCATATCCGCTATACAAGGAAAGGATCGGGAGATATCCGTAGACTAGGAAATAATAAAACAAGATCCTAGCTGCCTAATGTACACGTGATAATGATCATGCTCAACACCCCCCCCCCACCCCGCAAATGACACAAAGACTGGACCGGAACTCCTCAAAAGTAGAAGTCGGTAACCCCTTGGTCATGACATCGGCAAACTGCTGAGCGGTGAGAACGTGCAGAACACGGACGCAGCCGAGAGCCACCTGCTCACGCACAAAGTGTATATCGAGCCCGATATGCTTCGTGCGACGACGATGAACGGGGTTGGCGGAGAGGTAGATGGTGGAGATGTTGTCACAGTATACAAGGGTAGCGTGTAGCGTGTGAAACGTCATGGTGGATCTCCCCGAGAAGTTGTCGTAACCAAGAGCACTCAGCAACCGCGTTGGCCACTGCCCGGTACTATGCCTTAGCACGGGAGACCGCATGCTGCCGTTTCGAGGACCAGGAGATGAGGGCCTGGTACTCTGCCTCAGTACTGGAACAGGAGACCGTAGGCTGTTGTTTCGAGGACCGGGAGATGAGGGATGGCCCAAGGTAGACGCAATAGCCAGAAGTGGAAAGATGCGTGTCCGGACAGCCAGCCCAGTCAGCATCAGAGTAAACGACCATGTCGGTGGAGGACGGTGCTGTCAAGGTGAGCCCAAGAGCCATAGAGCCGTGGATATAACGCAGAATCCGCTTCACCAGGTTCCAGTGACTGTCTCGGTGAGCATGCATATGTAAGCACACTTGCTGCACTGCATACTGCAAATCTGGTCTGGTGAGGGTCAAGTACTGCAGGGCGCCGACGATAGACCGATAGAATGGGTCGTCAGGTGCTGGGGAGCCATCAAGCGCGGAGAGTTCTGCCTTCGTATCAACAGGGGTGGCAACGGGCTTGCAATTAAGCATGCTGGCACGCTCAAGAAGCTCATGGGCGTACTTGTCCTGATGAAGGAAAAAACCGTCGGGGCGCCCAGTGACCTCAATGCCGAGGAAGTAGTCGAGCGGTCCCAAGTCCTTCATGGCGAACTCGACACTGAGACGAGCAGTGAGCTGTCCAAGCTGCTCGGCCGAGGATGCCATGAAGATGATGTCGTTGACGTACATTAGTAGATAGGCAGTCGTCGAGCCGTGATGGTAGTGAGGCCTCAAAGCGAGTAGCTCGAAAGCCCAACTACAGAAGAAAGGCGACGATGCGCTGGTACCATGCTCTCAGCGCATGTTTCAATCCATAGAGGGACCAAGAAAGCAGGCACACGTGATCAGGGTGTGTGGCGTCGACAAAACCAGTGGGCTGCTGGCAATACGCCTGTTCGGCAAGATGGTCGTGGAGGAACGCATTGGAAACGTCCAACTGATGCACCGGACAGGCACGAGACACCGCAAGCTGGAGGACGCTGCGAATCATGCCCGGCTTGACGACCGGGGCGAAGGTGTCGGTGAAGTCCACTCCAGCACGTTGTCGGAAACCGCGAACTACCCAACGAGCCTTGTACCGCTCCAGGGTACCATCGGGGCGCGTCTTGTGACGATACACCCACTTCCCGCTAATCATATTAGCATGCCAGGGAGGTGGGACGAGCTGCCAGGTGCGGTTGCGTTGCAACGCGTCGAACTCCTCCTGCATAGCAGCAAGCCAGTTGGGGTTGCGAAGAGCGGCCCGGGCCGAGGATGGCAGCGGCGACGGCGAGGAGGTCGATGTCGCGTAGAGGTAGTGCTCGGACGGATAGCGGATACTCGGTCGGAGGGCACCAGTGCACAACTGAGCCGTGATGTGGAGCGGGGGCACCGCGACGAGCGTCCAGTCGTCGAGCAGTGTAGACGAAGGCCAGGCCGACCCCATCGGGTCCAGTGAGGGAGCGCGTGAAGCCAGGCCCGAGGATGTCAAAGGCGCCATGGAGCCCGAGGCCGGGGCGTCCGAGGCCGCGCCTGTGGTTGGGCCCGAGGCAGCCGAGCCTGAGGCCCAGCAATCCAAGGCGCTCTGGTCAGCCGAACCAGAGCCCAAGGCAGCGGCAGCCAGGCACGGGCGTCCCCCGCGGAGGTGCGGCTGCACCGAAGAAGGTCCGCCAAGGGGAGGGGGGATGACGAAGTCGGTGCATCAGCTGAAGGTACCTGCTGAAAGGTAAACACTTTTTCGTCAAAGTAAACGTGCCTTGAAGTTATCACCCGATGAGAGACTGGGTGGTAGCACCGGTGGCCCTTGGTGTTGGAGGGGTACCCAAGAAAGATGCATGTGAGGGAACGCGGAACAAGCTTATGTGGGGTGGTGGAAGCGATGCTAGGATAACAGAGACAACCAAAGACTCGAAGTTCATCATAGAATGGAGGAGTGCCATAAAGTAACTGATGCGGCGCATAGTTCCAACGAACGCGGCAAGGCCGAAGGTTGACCAGGAGAGACATCGTGGCAAGAGCATCTGGCCAAAAACGAGGCGGGATGTTGGCATGAAACAGGAGGGTGCGCATGTAGTCATTGAGAGTGCGAAGGACACGTTCCGCCCGCCTGTTTTGCTGCGAAGTGTAAGGGCATGTTAGACGAAAGATAGTACCATGTGTGGCAAGCAAAGTGCGAACAACAAGATTGTCGAACTCTTTCCCATTGTCTGTTTGAAACGCAAGAATGGGACGACCAAAGTGCGTAGAGACAAATGAGTAAAAAGTTTTAAGTGTTGAGAGAACATCGGATTTCTGCCGTAAAGGAAAAGTCCACACATAGTGAGTAAAATCGTCTAATATGACAAGATAGTAAAGATAGCCGGAATTGCTCGCAATGGGAGATGTCCAAACATCACTCTGAATCAACTGAAACAGATGTGAAGCAATAGTAGTAGAGTTGCTAAAGGGAAGACGCACATGTTTGCCAACACGGCAAGCATGACAATTATGGCCAGCGAGCTTATTACAAGTGAAAGAAAAACTCCTAAGAATGTGACGAAGTGTAGCAGGATTGGGGTGGCCCAAACGAACGTGCCAGAGGTCCACACCGGCGGAGAGGGCGACAGGAGCGGTGGTGGTGGAGGAGGGCGGTGGACCGGGTAGAGCTCATGGAGGCTGTCACATCGGTGAAGTACCATCCGGGTACGAGAGTCCTTCACAGAACCACATTCATCAAATTCAACGGTAATTGGATTTTCATGAGTAAGACAGCGAACAGAGCTAAGGTTCTTGATTAAGCCAGGAGAAACAAGGACGTTAGACATATTGATGGGTGTAGAATAAGATGGAAAAGAACCATGGCCAATATGTGTAATGGGGAGAGGAAACATCTCCGACAGTAATGCGGGTGGAGGTGTTGGTGGGAAAAGAAGTGACGAGGTTACCGGGGTTAGAAGACATGAGGGCGGTTGCCCCGATGTCCATGTACCAATCTCCGCCTCCGGTGTAGTTGTTGGGATGGGGGCGGAGTGCAGCGTGGCTAGAAGAGTCGGGTCCCAGAGCAGCGGCAGGGGCACCATGTTGAAGAAGATGGCGCCGGCCTGCTGCTGAGGAGGCGCCGGCAGCGCTGGGCATGCCCCATACTGTTGAGGCGGCGAGTACAGCTAGGGGCGGCGTGGTAGGCCCGATGTTGGGCCGGACGAGGGCCCAAGATGCCGGGGGCGGTCGGGCGAGGCACTGGCATGGAAAAAGCGTGCACGACGCCGGTCCAGGGATTGTGCCCGAAGGCCCACGACGGCGTGGGCTGCTGCTGCTGCTGGGTGGCCTGAGGCGGCCCGCTAGGGTTGGCCACCCGCTGTTGGCCCTTGCGGCCCCCTTTGCCGCAGCGACCGCCGTGATCGGCGGGAACAGTAGGCGCGAGTGTCCCTTGAGGAGGGAATGTGAACGACGGTGGGAACGGTGGGGGCGGCTGGAACGGCACCGCCGGCTGAACTCCTCGTTGAGGTCGGCGACAAGGGTACTGAGGAGGAGGTTGTCGGAGACTTTCTCGCCGATGTCACGGAGCTTGTCGCAAAGACACTTCAAGCGCATGCAAAAGTCGTCCACGGAGGAGTTATTTTGATGGCACCCGAAGAACTCTTGCTGAAGAAAAACGAGCCGCTAGAGCCAATTGTCGGTGAAGAGGCCATTGAGCTTCGTCCAGACGGCGTGCGCATCATCATCATTCTGCACCACCGTGTAGAAAAGGTCCTTGGAGATGGTGAGGAAGAACCAGCGGATGAGAGTTGCCTCGACGGCCGACCACTCGGCGTCGAACTCCATGGCCTTGGCGTCGATGGTGCCGTCAACGTGCTCCTGGAGGTGATACTCACGCAAGACAAGGTTGAAGTAGGTCTTCCATGCGTAATAGGAGGAATCCTCCTGGGAGAGACGGATGGGCATGCGAGCAAGGATGTCAATGTTGCGGATGTCCTCGGCGGGAACGGAGTCGGGGCTGGCGAAGGGGTTCGAGCCACCAGAGGGAAGAGGAGGCCATGGACATGGTGGCGACGAGGAGGGGTTAGGGTTTGGCTTGGGAGGAAGAGAGGGGAAGGGAGGGGACGGCGGCAGCAGGAAGGTGCGGCGGCCGGGGAGGGGGTGGGTGCGGCAGCAGGTGGACTATGGCGGCAAGGGGGCGGCGGCGGCACAGGTGCGGCGGCGGCACAGGTGCGGCGGCAGAAGCGTTAGGTTAGGAAAGATGTGCGGCATCTAATACCATGTGGATTGTCAATGTTTACATTGATCGTATGCCGTAGCATATATAGAGTGCATGGGCAGGAGTATCTCAACCGTATACGCTATACAAGGAAAGGATCGGGAGATATCCATAGACTAGGAAATAATAAAACAAGATCCTAGCTGCCTAATGTACACGTGATAATGATCATGCTCAACACGCTCCACCCTCTCACAAGTGACACCAACATGATACTTTTCTTTATCTTAGCAACAAGTCTTAGTAGCAACCTATTTGAGAGGTTACTAATGATGATACTAGCAGTATTAACTATCTACTAAGTAATGTACTTAGTAACAATCTGTTAGGGGATGCTATAAGCTCTTACACAGAGGACAATATTTTGTCAGAACAAAAAGTACCTCGTTTGCTAACCTTTCTCCCATCAAGTCAACTCCGTCAAATGTCTGTGTAGCAGAGTTGCATTGACTCCCTGCATGAAAAGCCGCAGCCCAAATCTCTTTATAGGAAACCAGTAGTAGCTGGAACAACTTATGACAAAACACAGAATGAAGGAAAGACAAAAGCTGTGTGAATGTATTCATCGGTTATGAAATCTGCCTGGTCTGGAGAGTCATGTTCTGAATGAGACTAGTACTAAAGCAGAATGATTGCACAATATTTGGCATGAAACTGGGTGATGGCCTAAGACCAATGCAAATACTATCAACATTCAAATAGCATTGGCTAATGCAGCTTTTGCTGGTTGTTATCACTCCATCTAATTCCAAGTTGTGTGGCAAAACCAGAAGGAACCAGCATTTTACGTGTTTACTGTACCGGATGGTTCTCCCGCTGACAGTTTGCTGTTTAATCTCAGTCACTTAATCTCGACTACATGTCGGCACCGGCATGTTGTATGAAATTCTTCAGCACAAGTTTAGGCTCAGGTATAAATCCAATTACAAAATAACCATTGAATTGTCATGTATGTAAACTTGATTTTCTATCATAAAGTGGCACTCCCAATATCCCAAAATGGCATGCAGACACGCCGACAGGCGCACTGACAATATCTTACTTAGCACTACAATTCAGAGGATATATACTAATACTACCAAGAAATCCAGCACGAAATTGCATAGCATGTGGATTGGGGATACTCACGGTGGATGATCACTTTGTCTGGCATCCGCCTCACGAACTGCTCAGCTGCAAACTTCCAGTCATCCGCACTGTAAAACAATGATCACATTTTGCCACTGAAACTAAGAATCCCCAAAGTTGTACAAGCCCACTGCAAAGACGACCAAAATAACAGTATGCACGGATCCACCTCCCCACGAGGCCATTGACCATGACGACAAGGTGCTCCGGGTACTCCCCGCCCTGCGCTACCTCCGCCTCGGCCTGAACGCTCCATAAGTCGTCCCCTCCGCCGCGTGCCGGCTCCATATCCACCTCCGTTGCCTCCGGCCGCTTCCCCCTCCCCTCGTTCACCGCCACCGTAACCGCCGGTGACGACGGCGCGGGCACCGGCGCCGGCCTGAAGCATCCCATCCAGCGCCCGCTGCTACCACTCCGCGCGGCTGGCGAGCGGAGAGCCAGGTGGAGCTGCGCAACGGCACGCGGCCACCGGGACTGGGCACCGGGGGTTGGAGTGGTGGCGCGGCCCATCGGGGTAGCGCTGGAGGCGATCATCTGGCGGGGAGGTTGGACGAGTGGAGCTTGCTCGGAGACCTAGATGCGGCGATGATAACTGGAATTGCTTCGGTGAAGGCGAGAGAAGGTGGAGCTGAGGATGAAGAAACTTCGAGCGAGAACAACGATGACAATGATTGGAGGGTGTGTTAGGTAGCCACAAAGATGGTTAGGTGGACTAAGGCTGGTCACAGTGGGGAGGAACTTAGGAGTAACATCATACACTTCAATACAACTTTGCTTATGTAGCACGTATTTAATGAAGAGAGAGGTGCTTGTGGTAACTAGCTAAGTTACCGGAACATCACACACTCCAAGAAACAATGAGTCTATAACCTAATAAATACATCGTTGCATGACACTACATAGATGTTCCTACCCACTATGGAGGTAGTAACATAGTCTAGGGAAGTGTGAAGTTACTAGCTTATGTTCTTGCCCATTGTGACCAGCCTAAGGTATTCTAATTTATCATGGTTTTTGTATGCCTGTGCATTGCACCGGGTGAAATATTAAAAATAACTTGCTCCTCATGAATTATGAAACATGTTTTTTTAATCCATTTTTTGCAAAAACGTCAAAAATATAGTTACATCAAATATTTATTTTTGGATCATGAAATTTGGACATATACCTTAATAATGTTTGTCATGACCTATTTCATCTCCACACTTTCATTTCACCCGATGAGAGAGTAGTTGTGTATGAAATAGTCTTTCAATCAACTTTATTTTCTATTATTCAGAAAAATGAATATTTCTTTATTTTGAGGTGTTTTTTTAAATCATTTTAGAATGGTATCATTTCTATGGTGACGAACATTTTTTGGAATATTATATTTCATTTGTAAATTAGTTTGCACTATTTTTTGGGCTTGGCCCATTGAAAGACTTGACCGACACGCACTTCCCGTTCCTTATTCTCCTTCTCCTCTGTTAGGACAACGTCGGCGCAGCCTCCCTCCCTTGTCCGCGTCATTTTCCGAGGACGAGGGCAGAAAGAATAGCGCTTCTACCGGTCGCACCGTCGTGTCCTCCGCCCGCGCCGCCATATCAATGGGAACTTGGGCGGCTCCCTCTTCCTCTGTTCCCTCCCACCCATCTGGAGTAAGAAAGCTGACCATGGTGAGCTTGCCATGGAATTTAAGCGGCTCCACTGTTCACATCATGTCAGGCAATGTCATTGTCAATTGGGGAAAATCCATATATGAGAACATCAGACATCTCATTTCCTCTTTCCCCACATACCACATAAACCAGAGCTTCAAACTTGGATTACCGCAAATATTTTCAAACTCAATAGACGGCATAGAGATGGTACCAACAAAATACTATAGACAAAGGATTTCGACAACAGCAGTCAGGTGACCACATTAGAAAGTGCCTGACTAATGACATTTTTTCCACAACTAAAACCACCAAATAGCACCATGTTCCTCCAAAAACTGAGGGGAGCATACATCACACACGCTGGAGCCATTTCAAATTAGATAAGACTGGGATTTAATGGCGTTGGAAGGAAATGAAAAATCAATATCTGCAAAAATGTTTGGTTATGTAAGAGAAGAAACCATGATAAATAAAAACATGCGTTTTATTGTGGAAATTGAAGTTCGGATAATTTGTAGACAAACCTGTCCTGTAAGAAGAGGTGTGTCCTCACCGAGCTTTGATGCACCAGGTCTTCGTGTACGCACATGCCATATCTGCAGCTCAATAACTTCAAAACATTAAGCTAGTAATTTAGTCCTCAAAAAAGTTATACCAAATAACTTCCTTACTTGAAGCATAGTTAATTACTTCTTGATGCCCTGAAATTTCAGCTCTAGAAATGTATTGAAGGGCGACATGGTGGTTCATCAAATTATTCTCAAAGACAATCTGTTAGAGTTAGAAAACATTAGAATGTGAACACAGGTTAATAATGAGAATTTGACTTGTTATTTTGAAATTCTAAAAGCTCACACTTCGAATATCTTAATTAAGTAGGTGCCCATGCAGCAAGGTGCACAAAATCAGCTCTTGTGGCCTTTGTTCTATCTTTGTATGACAAAAAATAATACTGATTGGTACCTTCAGAAAACCAGAAAATTATGCAATGTTGTACTATGTGGTCAAGAGTGATATCCATGCCTGGTGATTATTTTCTGGGCATTATGTCCCATAATGTATACTTGAGTGTGGTTTTCAGATGACAAATAATACAACCACAGTTTCATAATAGAGAGATGTGTCATAGTTCAGATGCATCAATTTTTCTTGGCACTAAAATTATTAGAGCTTGGGTAGAAAAAATAGTATCACACCAGTGCGAAAGATCTTGCTGACTAACTGTTGTAGGAATAAAAGAGATACATGTGCAAATTCATTCAACAAACAACAACTTCTATGTTTGCCTACTTCTCAACAAAATTTCATAGCCACGGCTAAAACTAAGACTAACAACCACACCAACCCATCAAATCTGTTGGGAGATTAGATAAGTTATGCAAGAAGAAAAACAATACCAGGATTTATTTTACCTGGTTGAAGACTTGAAGCATGCAAGAAAGGACCCGATGCATTTTCTTCAAGCAATTCATCAAACATTTGATGCATTCTCCGCACGCGCCTCCCGCCTCGCTACCGCCGCCTGATGTAGCGCTCGAGCGCAACGCCGCCTCCCCGCCATGGCCGCCGCCCCCTGCAAGCCTACGCTGCCGTGGTCTATGGCTTCAATGCAGGCGCCCCCTGCAAAAAACACGAAACCTTATCTCTGATTAGCCGAGTAAGGAAGGATTGTTTTGGGAAAAAACGAAACGTTTTCCGAGATAACCACTTAAAAAGGGATTGCCGGTTTAATTACCAGAAAACATAAGGAATTAACATATAGTATCATTAAATACCATGCGATCACATGTGATGGAGAGGATGCAACTTATCGCATCCATACTATCATTAAATGGAATGATACACAAGTATGCAATTAAGATGCAGAAAGTAGGATGCAACCTTCAAACCACCAAGAGAGGATCTTGTGTACCATTCTCTGTTCTCTTAAAGATTAATGACCAGCGGATGCGATTAGATATGATGGATGTGTGAACATGCCACCCTCATGTCAGATAACTAACGTAATTACCTCTGGATGCGCACCATGGTTCCACGGGCCAAAACCATTTCCACGGAAATTAGGCATTGGGGGTGGCGGATGATGATGCATCTGGTTTGGACTCGCCATCGACGGCAACCTCTGAAAGTACCCACCATGCTGGTGCTTAAGCAAGGAGGACCCCCGCATTATCTCTGGTAGCAGAAGTACAACAGCAAACATCAGAAGCCAACATCAGCACGAAAAGGTGCTCCATGAAAAACTTGCTGTCACCGAAGAATCATATGAATCAAGCAACATACTACATGCTTTCAAGACCTATGAGACACACACACACACGCTAACACATGAAAAGGCCAGCGCCTTGAGGCCAAAACAGAGTCAAGCAGAGCAAGTTTGCATCAACAAGAGAGAAACATAAGAAATCAGGCCATGACGAATCAGCAAGGACAAATTCTAATCTAGGCCAATAATGGTAGATGGGGCGGCGGCGGCGAGGGAGCGAATCGAGGCTCTCACCGTGGCCCAACTGCTTCTAATCTAGGTCAAGAAAGAATATATGCACATTCGAGACCATGCATCTCAACATCTCATAAAGCACCAATCATACACAGATCCAAATGGTACTAATACTCCATGTGTGTTAGTATATCAGATCTGGCAGTGCCCCAGCATTCAGTTGCAATGAATAATAAACTTGCCAATTCTCACAAGAAGAGTGAAAAAGGAGGAGGAACCAAATTTTTAGATTGTTCATCCATCCATGGCCTACATATATGAACTGAATCAAAGGCCTATATATAAGTTGAGCATCTTCTGACCACCCTGCAGCCTGACCTGAATCTACTGGTCTATAGAGGTGGGCGAGCAGCAAGAAAGCAGAGCATGCGGCGGCCACCGTCACAGCCGTCGTCCTGCCGGGCTCGCCACTGCCGCCGCAAGGAACCCTGTGTCCTGAGGGAACCCCGTCCTCGTCGCCGCCGGTGGCTGCTGCTCCCACGGGAAGGGCCCGGTCGCCTGCAGCCGCTGCGGGCAGAAGGGGAACTGCATGGGCGACGTTGTCGGTAGCGGCGATCCCGGGACAGGGCAGGGCGGCACACACCGTGTGCCCGTGCACAGGCACTGTAACACCCTCGATGCGACTATATCTCCCACGTGTCGAGGCACGACTTAGAGGCATAATCGCATTGAAGGCATATATCGCAAGTTAGGCAATCTTCACAAACATCCCATGTAATAGATAATAAAAGGGGAGATAACATAGTTGGCTTACACTCGCCACGTCAATCAAGTACATAAATAACATTACATCATCCAAACACTCATGGCCCGACTACGGTGCCAAAATAAAAGATAACCCAACATGCGACACGGTCCCAATCACCCCCAACTGGGCACCACTACTGATCATCGGGAAAGGAAACATAGAAACGTTGAGAGTCCTCGTCGAACTCCCACTTGAGCTCAAGCGCGTCTCCTGGAGCGGAATCATCAGGCCCTGCATCTGGTGTAATAGTAATCTGTGAGCCACAAGGACTCAGCAATCTCGCACCCTCGCGATCAAGACTATTTAAGCTTAAAGGTAAGGCAAGGTAAATATATATGGAGTTGCAGCAAGCGACTAGCAAAAGTGGTGGCTAACTTATTCGCAAAAGAGAGCGAGAAGAGGAGGCAAAGTGCGAGCGAGAAACTAGAGGGCAACCTGCGCAAACATAACTCCAACATCGTGTCCACTTCCCGGACTCCACCGAGAAGAGGCCATCACGGTAACACACTCAGTTGATTCATTTTAATTAAGTTAAGATTCAAGTTATCTACAACCGGACATTAACAAATTCCCATCTGCCCATAACCGCGGGCACGACATTCGAAAGTTCAAATCCCTGCAGGGGAGTCCCAACTTAGCCCAT